ACAAGTGGAAAGAATGTGTCCCTCTTGTATAGGCACTGGAGATTTGCCAAATATTGTAAAACAACTTCTAACCTTTGATCTTAAGTTTTGGTCTTCATTGTGGGTTCAAAGTCAATTAGTGTTAAATATCTTGGCTACTCTAGTAGATTATTTCCATTGCAGTGGAAGGTTGAAGTTTTGAAGAGGTTATTCTAGAGGAGGTTGTCTTGTGTCAAAGTTGGCCACAATATAAGGACATGGGTGATAGTTTCCATATGAATAAATCATGATAGTTTCCATATGAATAAATCAAATAATGTCAGGCCTATGAGCGAAAGAAAAACTAAGTCACTTCATTTGGGTAATAAGATAAACAAAAGAATATCTTAGTTTTTTTTATTCCATATCTACTACTATTTCAACTACATGTGAGCCAAGTCTGATTATTGTTATTCTTGATATGGGTTTTGTGTATGCAATTATAAAGGACCTGGTTTGTAGCATCAAACAAAAAACATTCATGCTTTCCTTATTTTTTTTCTAGTGAAAAAGCTTCATATTGAACCTTAGTTTTGATGATTACAAAATAGCGAATATTTCATTTTCCATATAAATGTGTTTATTGGAAATATAAGATAGTTGGGACTATATGCTTAATCTTTGACATCTAACTAAAAATCTAAGGTCCCTTCATTCATTTTTGTGATCCTAGTCTTAAGATAATTATTTGAGTTATATTAAGTTCTTTAAAAGGTTTCATCTTAATTCATTGTCAAATTCTTGTTGCTAATATTTTCATTCTCATACCAATATGTTAACCTCATATCGATACTTCATCTTCATATCAGTATCTCTATCTCATACCCCTATATTATCATTATTCTGATATGAATCCTTCCACCATTTAGCCTTTATCTTTGATCATTTCATCATATCAATATAACTCACTCTTATCACTCATTCTCTTTTATCTGTATATGTATAGTAGTATGAAGGAGTTCTTAGGTTATAACTTTATTACATCAATATAACTCTTGATCTATCACTGTCTTCTACATAAAGTTATTCAATATATTTTCTCTATACCCATATAGTACTCGTGTATCTTCTTCACTAGATGTTCTTGCTAATATCGGTGTCATATATTCATACCAGTATATCTTTGAAGTTTTAGCTATGTTTTTCATTCCTTTTATAGAGTGTCTCAAAGATAACTCGTGTCTTAACTATTTTTAGCTTTTAAGAGTTGTGTTCATCTTCTTACCTATCTAGAATATTTTCAAACACAGCCTAGGGTTTGGTTAAATGCTTATCCAATCTTTTATTGATCTTTATACTTATATAACTTTTCTCTATCAATATTAATCTCTTTTACCTTTTGTTAAAACATTTCATGCATATAATTGTTACTTTCCTTAAGTTTTTAAAACCATGCAACATTGCCAAAAAGCGCTGTTTTATTGGTTTAATGTACAAGAAACTCAAAATGAAGGAGGATGAAGTCTCTAACTGCTAGATTAATGAGTCTAACAGATCATTTCCAAGCATCAATTATAAATACGAGTATTTATGGAGATGGTGAATTAATGAACTACTGAGTTCATACACGAGCTTATATATTCACTTATTCACCTACTCTTTGTTGTAATATTTACTACACTTGAGCTTCATTGATTGTATATCTAAGTTTCGATAAAGTTTTCAATAGTAGTAGTTTATTATTGAACTTATTTTGTCCCTATTTTATTTACATGAAACATAGAAACTTAAGCTCAAGGAGCTTAAGAGGATAAAAGATTATCTTTATAAGAGGGAGAGTTACAAACTTAAAGAGGAGTATGAATTGTACCGAGGTTACTAAGAGCCCGATTTAATCTTGGTGGAGATAGTGAAAAATTTCAAGTATATCTTAGGGATTGAACGTAGGCTCAAATACTTAGAGTTGAATCAGGACAAACACTCTGTGCAAAGCTTCTCTTCCCTTCTTAACTTATATTCAATTTTTGTATTATTTGCTTTAAATTTTATTTAACCTAATCCACCCCCTCTTATGTAGATTTTACACTTCCTTCCTACCTCCTTTGTTTATTCACTTCATGCAAAAATTTTTCAAATCCTTCAAGAGAAAAAAATTTTGTTTTGAACTTCTTCTTTCAAAGCTCTCATCACATTGCCATGCTTTCTTCAAATGATATTTTCATGCTTTTCAACATTCTGGCTTTACTCTTCTTCATCTCGATTCCTTTCTAGAGAAGCAATCTTTGGTTCTCTGGTCTCTTATTTTTATTTGGGCCTTTTTTATGTGTGATTGTAAAGCCTATCTTATAATGGATCAATATGCTTTTCTTTCATTACATTTATTGTTCCATTATGTTGATATTTTGGTTTTGACACATGAAATTTAGATTTTGTGAGTTTGAATTTGTTATTGTTTCTCTGTGGTTTAATGAAATTTGATCTTTCTTGAAAAGAAAAACTAAATTACAGTCTTCAATGTGTTAATTAATTGTCTTTTTTATTACACCCTCTTTTTATGTTTAGACTTATTATGATGTCTCAATGAGAAAATATCATTAATTACACCTAAGATTAAGACTAACTTTTAGAAAAATCTTATTAATTATATGCTAAAGGGAAAATTGCTGAAAAAAACTTGACCACAAATTTAATTGCTCATAATGAAGTGGAAAATTTTATAAATTGAGGTCCTTCAGTGGCATAAATTTAGAGCCTGAAATGACCCAAATGCCCTAAGTATAACCTCTCCTCTCTCATTTCCAGCATTCATCGCGATTTCGAGTGGCAGCACTTTTACCTCTTCATTGACAAAATGCTATGTTCATGTGTAAGACCTGGCTTTACACCTTCCTCCTTACACCTCGTCTTCAACATCAAGACCCATTTTGATTCTCCCATTGAGTTGTCCTACTAGTAGATGCCCGAGTTTGAGAAGAAGATCAATTCTTTGCTTTAATCAGTCACTACCTAGAGGATTGGTTTTCTCGAGAAGATTCACCTCAAACAATGATATATTCAAATATAAGGAAGCCAAATTGCATTTCCTTGAAGATTGCATGCATATGGTGGAGGAAGAATGACATATGGTTAAAGCCGAATTTGTATTCAATATAAAAATTTGACATTAAGACATTATTTTCATGATATACATAAGGATATTTGAATATATGGAAGAAAATTATATTTCATTAAAAATTAATCACATGTCATGTAAGAAACATTGCATATTCTTCCATAGATATCCATAAGAGATATTAATAAAGAACATTCAAATATACATGGAATATTCAAATTTATGGAAAAAAATTACACTTTGTTAAATATTGCTTGCATATTGTGAAAGAAATATTGTATATACTTCCATGGGTATCCATAAGCAATATTAATAAGGGGTATTTGAATATATATATATATATATATATATGAGATATTTAAATATATGGAAGAAACTTGCATTTGGTGCTTATTATGAAAGAAACATTGCATGTGACATATTAACACTACAGGACTTTATATTTTAGTGCTCAGTAAATTGCCACCAAATGACCTTTGGCAAACCTTATGCTTCATGGCTCAATCTTCATTTCCTTTTCTTTATTTAAGGGTACTCTCCAAGATATTGACAGCAACCCTCTAGCTTGTATCAATTTGAGGGACTTGGCTTCTCTCCCCTCCTCCATTTCCTTTCCATTAACTAAAACAAAATCTGTACTATTCAAAATTCTATGTAGACAAAATTTGAATGTCTAGATTTAAAGTTTTTATTTTTTATTTATATTTATATTTTATACTTATTAAAATTAACATTAAATTTTTTTAAAAAATAGTCTAAATTTAATTTAGAGGGTCCAAAAATTAACATTAATTTTTTTATAAATTGATTATCTAGATTTACTCTGAATGGTTTAATTTAAATTTTTTAACTTATAATTTTTTATAAAAATATTTTTTTTGGAAAGTTTCAATTGAGAAATTATCTTTACTTTTAATTTTATGTTTATCAAAATAAAAATTTATAAAAATTATATAAAAAATTAATATTAAACCTGAACTGTCTAGAATAAATTTGGATAATCAATTTATAAAAATTGTAAAAAATTTTAAAATTAAATTGAATTGGACATATTAAATATGGACTATCTAGGTTCATGATAAAATGAATTTATTAAAATTTTAATTTTAATTTTAATAAGTATAAAATATAACTATAAATAAAAAATAAAAATTTTAAATTTGGACCATCAGATTTAGTCTCCACCAAATATGAATGGTTTGGATTTTATTGTAAGTTAGTGGAGAGGAAATGGAGGGAAATGTTAGCAGAGAGAAGCCAAATCTCAATTTGAGGGACTTTTGGGTAATTAATTTCATAATCAATACTTTTTAGAAAGAATCACATTTAAGGTCATAAGCAAAATAATTAAATGTAGGTCCTTTCAATTCTAAATTAAAAATAATTTTTTTTAAAGATAGGAATGCCCTTAATTTTTCAAGTATACGTTGGCATATTTATTACCAGATATTAATTTATTCATAAGTAAAGGTTCACATATTTATTAACATAAGTTTACATATTCACTATTACAAGTGCACATAATCACAATAGCATATTTATAATTATAGTTTCACATATTTATAATTATATGTTCGGTTTACAAATTAGTAAATATACAAACATGTTGTGAATATATAAATATATACTTGCAAATTAGTGAATATCTGGTAATAAACATGCGAACATTTACTTGTGCTCGGGACTTTTTCATCAATAAAAAATTTATTTGCAAAGAAAACCTTTAGACAATTGTTTTAAAATTGAAAGGACTTGCACTGTAATTATTTTACTTTGGATAGCCCGCACTGTGATTCTTCTTACTTTTAAACAATTTTCGCTGTTTTTTAACGTAATATTATTTGAAAAAATTATTAAAAATATTTGGGAAAGAATATATTTTATTCCGTAGAGATCCAACATCGTTTTTATGCGATGATCCTCCTCCAAACCCAATGTTGACTTTCAGATCAGCTCCAAGGCCCAAAAAAGAAAAAAGGAAAAAAAAAAAAAACCCCCCATTTTGGAGATTCTGAAGCTATACAACAGCAGAATCCTCCATGAGATCGACAGAGATGTTATCCGAAGCTGCCTGCGAGCGGCTGCAGCGAGCCCTATTGGAGTGTCATCGGCGGGTCCCGTCCGGTCTGGGCCGAGACTCGGCGTGCCGCCACCTGAACCAATCGCTCGCGATATGCCTCGTCTCCTTGGCCTGCCGAGAAGAATCCACGCCGTTCAGGCACTCTGCTCCAGCAGCGGCACCGCCCTCAAGCGCTCTCAGTGCCAACAGGCTCACCTCTCTCTCTCCCTCTGCCTCTCTGCTCATCAGCAAAATTCATGATTCTTAAACCCTAGTCCCAATCTGTGAAATTTTATGTTTTGGGAATTTCTTACTGCTATTTCTCTTTTCACTAAAGAAAAATAAGTACTCAATTTTGAGAAATTGATTGCTGGATAGTTGCACCTTTCAGAGTTGTATAATGGAGTCGCTTGAACAGTAAATGTATTGAGTTTGGTTAAACCTTTCGGGATAAATATTGAAGTAGATAGACAATAGTAAATGTGCCCATTTGTACTGCAATGCAGAGTTTCTAATATCAATATGATATTCAAACTGAAGCAAAATTGCTTCAAGGTCACATCCAAAAATTTGAATTGTTTCCAGTTGACTACTTCTCTTAGCATTTAGCAATTCCTTCTTCTACTCTTCTACATTTTCCACCATTGAATCTTGATTTCAATGGTTAAGATTTAGTATGTTATAGAGATATTATTATATTATTTAAATAACAAATTTATTTACAAGAGTAATGTTCCCTATCTTTAATTATAAGATACTTGAAAAAAAAAAATTGACATTCCAAAATAATACTCCGTTTTATTTAAAATATAAGTTATTTTTTTAAAAAAAATATGCATACTAATAAAATCATCTTTTTCATAAAAATTAATAAGTTATTATTATTTTAATTATCAAAGCACTTATAAGAGATAAATTTATACAAGAATATAAACATTGATATTGGTAGAAGATAGCTAATTCTAATTATTTCCTTCCCACTCAGTGGGACTTTGGGAAAAGTAAGCAGTCGAACTTAAAGAGAAGAACCATCAACTCTTCGGCTTTGCCAAGAGACCATTGCATTTTGCAGATCGAATTGATTTTTGTTGTTTAAATTTGATAGTTTTTTTAAATATAAATTAATCTATATAAACAGTTTAAAACTACACGTTGCGGGGGAAAATCGCTCAGATTATTGAAAATCCAAGAATGATCCAGTTACTCCCAAGTTATTTATTGTTAGTCCTAAAAATGGATTGTTGTTGGTTGTAAAAGAGTATATGATTCCACACGATGATGGATTAGGCTTTAGCAAAAGCTTCAAGAAAATAAGCCAGTAAACTTCATGTTTAAAAATTAAAAGAAAAGGTAAATATTTACCGACAAAGATTGGTATATTTAATAAAAATTTGACTCATAGTATAAATCTCACTGCCAATGCAATATTTTTATTAGTAGATTTGTATGTAAATATTTTTTCTAATGCTTTTTAATTTAAAGACATATAAACTTTTTGTGAAGTCCCACAACCTAGCTCATTAAACTTTCATTTACCACAAAAAAAAAATTTAATATTTACAAAATCATGGTATAATATAATATGTAATCGAATTATAAAATTAATGCAATTAATTTCACTGAGTCGTCACAATGTTTCCTTTTAAAACTTCAACATAGGCAAACTTGATGCAAATCAGTTGATATTTCAAAATTAAAAAGTATTCAAATTCAACCATTCCATGCTTTCAAACAAGAAAACTTTTCAACGAATCCTTCAATTCCTTTCCCCATTATCCATTATCACCCCTGGACAAATTATGCCCTTAGGAGGCTTCGAACAAAAGCAAACTTACGGGAAGACAAATAATTTGATAATATGCTAAGACAGAAAATTCCATATATAATTGAGTGTTTATTTGTAAATTTTAAAAAGCTAAAATAAAAAGACAAATTCTAAAATATTAAATTCTAAAATGCTAAAAATAAACTGATAACTTATGTTTTGTTACAAAAGTCTTTTGAAAAGCCAGTCATCTTCCATCCTAAACTAGGTTCTGATTCAAAAACTTTAGAAGTTTGTTAACCAAACATACTCCCCATCTTCTAGACGAGCTATCAATCACCCAAACTTAATTTGAGTGTTATTCAAACATATCCTAAATTACAAAATAGCCAATATTTCAGTACAAACAAGTGCCAGCACGAACATGAACCAGAAAACTCATCCACCAACGAAGTAGAATTCTCCCCTGCTGATTTCTTTAAATTTTTTATTACCCAGTTGCCCTTGTAAAGGCAACACAGGGAGTAGGAGGGTGGGTTCGTGGGGACTATGAGAGAACCTGCCCCCTCCACCAACAATTGAAACGTGGATCCCGCACAAAGCAAAAGTT